GATGAAATAAGAGGTTTAAATTTTGTTATGAAACAGTAAAATGTAATTCAGTTCGACAATGTTCTACAGTGGTTTGATAGTAATTATTTAAAGCTTAATTCAAATAAAATGAAATACATAAAGTTTGCATTACCTAATGTGAGGCATATTAATACACTTATAAATGTAAATAGTGAAAAAGTTGAGTTGGTGAAATCGACAAAGTTCCTTGGTATTACACTAGATTCCCGACTGCAATGGGATCCTCATATTGATAATTTGTCAAGTAGACTGAGTTCTGCAGCATTTGACTCTTGACAACGGCAGGATTGGTATATTTTAGTTATTTTCATAGTGTAATGACGTATAATCTATTGTTGTGGGGTTCTGCGGCTAGCATTCAAGATATTTTTATTCTACAAAAGAGAGCTGTCCATGCTATATATAATTTACGGTCTAGAGAATCTCTCAGAGAAATATTTAAAGAAATAAATATTTTGACTGTTGCCTCTCAATACATCAATGAAAATATTATCTACGCAAGAAAACATTACGATTCCTTCACAAAAAAAAGTAGTGTTCATAATCATAACACAAGAAATAAAAATAAACTTGCCGTTCCAAGCTTCAGACTTCAGAAAACCAGAGGATCAATGCATTTACATTGCTATGTTCAATAAAGTTCCACAAAATGTAGTTGACCTACCCATAAATAAATTTAAAATTCATGTAATGAACATACTTATGAGTAAAGGCTATTATAAAGTTGATGATTATTTTAAGAATCGCAATGCATGGAATGAATAGCCATCGCTTTGTTCTATAAAGACTAATTATATGTTCAACCTATGTCCTACAGACTTTGAAAGTTGTATTTATTATTGTGATAAGATATGAAATGACATGATTTATGTAAATATCATAGGGCTGGTAAGTTTCTTTCGCTTGTTCTTCTTGTCAGCTAAAAGACGTCCTGAACAAGTGGTAGGGGAAAAAAAATTTTTGGACGATTCAAAAGCGATTCATAATAACTAATATGATCATTACAATAATAAATTGATCATAGCCATGTTTGTTTTACTTTATTATTCTAAGTTTTATAACTGTAATAATAATAGTACCTACATTTTTAATTGCAACGACTGGACAATAAGGAATCGCTGGTCAAGTATGAGTTTGAAAGCCGTGACAAAAAAGTTTGAAGACAGACACAAAAGCGATAAGTACGTACAAACGTCAATCTACATATAAAGTCACATCCGTTTGAGACATGCGTTTATAAACTTATGTGCAAATATGAAGCAACAAAAAAATTGATAAAAGCTGTTCTGTGGGCGGTTCTTTAAAGTGGCTATCCTAACTCGATTTCTATAATAATGGTTTCCGATTATGAATCAGCATAATAAACTAAATTAAATTGACGCCTATAAATTAATTTTGTAAATTAAATTCACACCACCAACAATATTACGTTAGTTGAAAACATGATTTTTTGTTTGTATAGATAATATGTTGTTTTGAAATTCATTTGATAGGTTTAGGTCTAAAACGGATAGGACAAAATAAATTATGTTAACAGGGCATTCCGTTGTAAAGTTATTAGGGAAACTGAAATATAAGTAATGCAAAATAAGTGAAATCCCGTTTCACCAGTTTCTAATAAGACCTATTAGGCCAACACTCGTAGCTTTTCACGAAGTTTCGTTTGATTTATATATTGTTCATAAAACGTTGATACACTTCGTAACTTAGATATTTATAGCACATCAGTATTTTTTAATATCTATCTGCGTGTAAATAATTAACCGAATCTTCGTAAAAAAGTGCCTGAATAGTTCATTATTTCATCTGTTCAGTATCAATTCATCTTTTATTTTCAGGAGGCACAGCACTATTTTTTGCAAAAGTGCACAATATGATTTACATTGCTGTCTAGAAACGGGGTTAGAAACATTAATGTTGGTTTGAGCAAACAATGTATATTTTATTTGAAATTGTGTCAAATTATTACGTTTTTTATATTTGAGCACTAAAATTGTACTTACCAGTGAAAGGAAATGTTTGCATTAGTTAGATTGTATACTTTGTTTTGCTTTTTGCAAGTGATAATAGCACAAAACGGTATTTTTTATAGAAAAAATCAGTAAAATCACCACTCGACGATTGACGAACGACTGACAAATATAAAACCGAGGAAAGGGCGTCATATGAGTAAAAGCGCATATGCCAGCGACGCTTGCCACGCCCACTTACTACTTCTATTCTCTCTCTACTATTATTGAACTTTCTAAAGATGGTACATTTCTGTTATAATTTTCAAATTGAGTCCACTTTATTTGTCCTAGATTGAAATCTCCTATTATATACACATCACCTTGAATGCTTTCCAGCGTCAGGTTACAATTACTTAAAAAGGCCTTTAGTAATGTTGGTGTTACTGGAGGAGGAAGATATACAATGCAAAAAGTTACTGTATTAACTGACACATTAACAGGAAAATCTATTGTAACCCATAAATCTTCACAACTACTCTCCCATTGAACATGTCTATTAGAGTTAATTTTTTTTGAGACTGCCAATAAGACGCCCCCTCCTTCCCCTTTATTACTATTTGTTTTATTTCTATCCCTACGATATACCACGTACCTATCATCGAACAATTCACTATCAAAGACATTATTATTCAGCCATGTTTCTGTGAGTATTATTATATCATATTTACTGAGACTTACGCTATTATAAAAATCAACAGTTTTGGTTCTTAGGCCACGTACATTTTGGTAGTATACATTCAGACTTGAGAATTTTAATACTTATATTTATATCAAAATCATGCAAAACAAATAAAAATATGAAGTCAAAATTATTTCAGTTTCTTCAATGAGTCCATATCCTTGACTAAGATAAATGCTGAATCATCAGTTTTTCGCATGAACACTTTCCCATTTTTGACCCACACATGTTTATAACCTTTGTCTTTGGCGTTTTGTCTAGCTGCAGCGTGTAAAACTTTATTTGGTACTGAGAGGTGTTCCATAACATAAATTGGTTTTTTATCATTGGTAATGCCTATGTGAGAGGTGTTTAACTTATTATTCGGATTTGCTTTATTATATTTTATAACGGCAGCTAGAAAGAGATCTCGTTGTTGCAGTGACGACATCTGAATAATAATTGATCTAGGTCGGTAGCTGGCCTTGTCTTGTTTTGACACACGAGTAATATGCTGTATTGTCCCTTCTGTCATATTGTAACCAACCGTTTTTGCGATGCACATAGCTATACCTGATAGATTTTCGTTTTTTGTTTCAGGGACACATTGTACCTCCAGATTATTAGCGCGCGCATTTTGTTCCAGCAGATTAACTTTGACTTTTAAAAGTTGTATTGTCCCTTGCATGTCCTTGTTTTCTTCCTTCAATGTTTTAACTTCCCCGGTCATTTCTTGACACTCTTTAATAGCTGACTCATATTTTTCATTCATAAAAGACATTGATTCCTTTACTTCTTCAATCTCTTTCCTGATACAGATGAGTTCTGTCTTTATAGAATCGACCACTGATCTACCAATTTGTGACACCATGGACGCCAGCTCATTTTGGATTACATCCACTACGATTTCTCTAATGTCATCTTTTGTTACCATATTTTGCGTTTTCGCCTGCGACAATGGAGAAGTAGCCTGTCTCTTCGCTCGTTGCGTGAAACCAATATCACCTTCTTTAGTGTTGCTGTCGTTTGTTTTGGGCGTAATATTTCTTTCAATGTAGTTGGAAATTGATTTTGGCGGTGAACGTTGCATTTTTAATATTTACTTATTTACTTTTATTTCTCGTTTACAAAAAAAGAAGTAAGATAAAAAAAAACAAAAAAAAATTAATTACAAAAGGAAAAATGGAAATAAAAAGAGAAAAAAAAAAAACAATTGCCTCCTCTGCGTGGTTCCGATCTTCGGGCTTCGCTGTCGGTTGAACGTAACTCTATCCGTTACACCACGGCGCTTACAAGCAAAGCGTCAAAATATTCAACTATTTTCTGCATTTAACTAATGGCTAAGACAGTCGATTCATTCCGATAACAACTGCATTGTTTGCTGGCAGGTACAAAGTCCAAATGTGTCGTCGATGAACAACGGCTTTTATGAAAGTTTTTTTCAAAAAATCATCACATAAACACAGTACAAATATTTGTTTTGAATAAAATATTGTTTTCACATCAACATTACGCATAGATGTATGCGTTATTCGCTATAGAAATCACGGTTAATATGATTTAATTTCTCAAAATTTTTATCAGCACTTTATACCAATCAAACATCTGAAAAACTCCGAGATAACAATTGTTCTTGACAATCACGCAGTTATTCACTGATTATTGCAATCCCCAACTCGAAACTTGAAAAAATACTTTTTAAATACTTAAAATACGGCCAATCTATTATGTTCACTGCGCCATCGATCAAAATTATATAGGATAAGATTTAATACTAGCTATATCTACTAGAATTTCTATACTCGATATCGCAGTGACTAAATATCTCGTTCGATCTGTGATGCAAACGCAACTTTATAAGGGCTGACCATAGAATGGGTGACCAAAAAAATCATTATCTTTGATCCTGGTTGTGTCTTAAGCCGTTAATACTTACTAGTCCACACTGACTCGCATGGCCCTATATGATTCGATTCCATCCATAGGGCAGGCCTGTGTCCAAGTAGTTGAAATATTTATAGATTGATGATAATGATATGAGAATTTAATGGTAGCACGTCCGTTTGCTGTTTTTATAAAAGGCTCTGTCAGAATATCAGCGTTGATGCGACCTATGTCGTAACAACATACGCTGAGACAAGGTCTTGATTGACCCAACGTTTGATTGTATTATGTATTTTTTTCTTTCTTATATTTTTTTTTGTATATGTACTTAGTTTGTGGGTCAGTAAATTAGTTTTTTTCTTTCTTTCTCCTTGGTTGAAGCCAGGAGAAGTTAAGCCTTCATCCAATCCACTTTGTAATTAAACTCACCCACTCTGGCTGTTGAGGTCCAAGTCTTCAAAATATACGGTATCGTTGTCGTATTCCGATAAACGCTCTAGGACTTTTGCTGTTATTTGTAGGAATCCATTTGACACGAACACAACAGGATCATCCAATCGATTTTGATACGATACAAATGGATGTTCCTGAAAGAATCAACAAAAGATGATTATACATCTCTCTCTATATTCTTTAAAATCTGTGTTTGAAAATCGAGTTTTTATTTTGAGCAATTTTACAATGATCGTAATAGTTTTCTAGTAATAGTCATTTTCTGTATATTTCTATGCGCACCTGATGTGAAAAAATAAATAAATACATTTTTTATATATATGACGGTCGTCGATCTTTTCTCCATTAAACTTCTGATGAACTAGCCTAGCCTAGCATGATTTTGCCAGTGAGATTAGAATACAATAGGTTGCGAGTCTAAACGCTCCTTTCATCTTGCATTCCTCTTGGTAGCATCGCTAAATTTTATACGAAATATGAAACATCATAGCCAACCGGATGGGATGAAATAGGGATGTAATGTTCAATCTGCCACACATCCTCCTTCAAGGTAGAAAAGTCGTCCTCAAATATGGTCTGGCCACCGCACGCTGTGCCTCCACGCACTTTCGTCAATGTGCGACGACATTTAACTGGGCGGCCCACATTGCGGTCCTTTAGCTCTAAAATAAGAGGATAGATTTTTTTTTAAATAACAATTTTAGTAACTAAATTGTTTAATGTCCAAATAAGTAATAAAGTTGTCATAATGGCGTATTCGCAGTGCGGGCTCATTTCATTGGATAATCAACCAATGAAAATTTGCCACAGTTATCATATGCATTTCGTATTCTAGTTACCTTCTAGAGCTAGCATAGCGCTTAATGCTCTACGTATGTTGTAATCGACATACTAACACATATATTTAACGAAAAATGTTTCTTACGAGCATACTACACAACCAACAAATGGTACGAATCACACTCACATTGTCTAGAAGCCTTAAAAATCGTTGATTTTTAATTTTCCAGGATTTCCTGACAAAATTAATGATACCTGGGTCAATATTTCATCTCGTGCAAATCGGGTGTTCCGCGACAAAGAATATATAAATCATTGAAAAAATTTGGGACTGAATCGGAATTCGCAAAAGCAGTTTTTTAATTATAAAAGTATTAAATTTCAAAATAAAAGTCGCAATTCTCATAACCAGTCGTGTCCCTATTCCAAGATTTGAAACAGTTAAGCTAATATCGAAAAATAATAACTGCAATTTTATTCAATAATAGGATACTACGAGTATAATAGTTAAAATTCATTGTTTACCAAAAGTGAAGTGGTTTGCGAAATAAGTTATTACCGATTTTATCAAATAAGGTACTCAACTCCTATATTCTGATACTTATTTGATTATTGTGTTTGGTGTGTAAGCATTATTTGAACCTGCATGACATAACAAGTCTACTAAAAAGGACAATATTTAATAGAAAATGACTATAAACCTCATTACCGTTCATTTTAATAGGAATGGGAATTAGATAGGTGAAATGGCAATGAGGTATTATGATTAAATATTTATTTATTTAATAATAATATTAACAGGATTATAATTGTACTGACTAGTGGGTGAAAAAACTTTTTAGGACTTAAGATTGAATAGTGGGTGATAAGACTTACGAGTGGACACCAGAGAGAGTCAAATCAGGTCTCTATATAGTGGATAGGAAGGGGAGCGGGATCACGTTTTAAGCCATTCCTTCTCTCTGTAGGGACCAGCTGGTGTGATACGAAGCCATTCCTGTATTACTCGAGACTCTCTGCGATAAGAGGACCAAGTATCCCGTTAAGGAGATAAATGTCTTGGTGAATAGATTACTATTTTCCAGGTTTCATACCCCATGATAGGATATGCCGTAGGAATTGAATAAAACTAAAATAAAAATTGGTATTTTTACTTCAAATTAGCGAAATTAAGTTTTTATAATTTTCTAGAAGCGTGCCCATCACGACCTTTGCCAATTAATTAAGATTCCAATTCTAAACTAAGAAACAATTCTAATTGAAGCAATGTTCAACAAAGTATGATGAATTTGATTTTATTAAATAACTGACTCCGAAACACTCTAATGGATACAAATGTCTATATAGAGGTCATACTTTTGAAACATACTTATATCTACTGAAGACCAGAGAAAAGTGAGAATCGGGGATTTTTTCAAAAGATGGAGATTTCTTAAGTAAAATACTAAGAGAAACGAGCATAAAATTAAAGATATAGTTATAAGGAATTAGTACTTACATAAGTCTAGTTAGTGAAAGGCTTAAAAACGTGACTATTTTCGACTGAGACGAAATTTTTGTGGACGCATCTTCGTCCAATTAAGTATCAAACAGTAGGTACGTATGCCTAGTGGTACGTACAGTAAAAGAAATAAGCATGATTGAATTATGTCTCAAGTAGAAAAAATGTATAGCCAATATAAAAATGAAGCAAAGCTTTAGTGAAAAAGAAGTACTAGGTGGATTGAAAAGTTGGCGGCCTAACACATAAATACTTAAACTATTTTAATGTAACTGGCCTCATTCGATTAGTTGACTCTCTGGTTGTCAAATTGTAAAATTCTATACATTAGCATTAACTGTATTTAAATTAGACTGACTTGACTGACTGACTTATGAGCCTTTGTGCAGCATTTTTAAAGAATGGAGAAAATTGAGCAACGTGCTGTCATCAAATACCTGTTTAAAAAAAACTAACTCCAAAAGAGATTCACGAAGATATGTCAACAACATTGGGGGAATCTACTCCGTCGTATACGACTGTGAAAAAGTGGGTTGCTGAATTTAAACGCGGACGAGAGAGTATAGAAGATGACCCTCGCTCTGGTCGGCCTATGACGTCTACGACTGAAGAAAACATCGGGAAAATCTGTGATCTGATATTGACAGATCGAAGATTGACCATCAGGGAGATTGCATACAGTATTGGCACCTCGTATGAACGAACACAAAACATTATAGTCAATGAACTTGGATTTTTTAAGGTTTCTGCGCGCTGGGTACCCAAATTGCATTCAGTCGAACAAAACCGAATACGCCCACGATTTCTCACGACTGTTTGGAAATGTTTGAGGCAGATCCACAAGATTTTTAATCTAGATTTGTAACAATGGATGAAACTTGGGTACAGCACTACACCCCAGAGTCAAAACAGCAATCCAAGCAGTGGAAAAAACGTGATGAACCCACTCCAAAAAAAGCCAAAACAATTTTGTCAGCTGGCAAGGTGATGGAGTCAGTTTTTTGGGATGCTAAGGGTGTCATCAAGGTGGACTACCTTGCAAAAGGTGAAACTATAAACTCGGCTTATTACTGCACCCTCTTACATCGTTTGCGCGAAACAATCAAAGAGAAAAGGCCAGGATTACTCAGCAAGAAAGTGTTGTTCCATCAGGATAATGCACGCGTTCACACGTCTGTTGAATCTCTGGCTCAAATTCGTGGTTGTGGCTTTGAATTACTGCCCTATCCCATCTATTCCCCTGATTTGGCACTTTTAGACTTTAATTTATTCCCAAACCTAAAAAAACACCTTGGAGGTCAAAAATTTCCATCAACATAACAACAGAATAACATTTACTTACTCTGATGAAATGGTTTAAAGCGTTCCGGATATCTATGAATAATAAAAGTATTGATAAAAAAGCCATGCAGATAAATTAAAGCCGAATTTTCAAATATATTTGTTCCTAATTATCATTTTTATATAGCTCATTACCATTCCGGATTATCTAATTACCATCACCGTGTAATCTAATTTCCATTTATTGAAAATATTTAAGGCCCAATATCTAGTAAAAGTAACACCCAATTGCTGTCGCTTCAATTTTTTTATGATATAAAACCAGCTTTTAAATAAACCAGGAAATAACGTTTTTGGGCACAATGTTTTTGCGTTCTTCGAGACTGCCAATTTGAACTTAATAAAATATTCACCCACTTATTCATTTTCAGTTTTCGTATACATATAGAACAAATGGTCATTTACGTTGATAAACAGCTGACTAAAGATAATCTGATATATTTACCGGTGACAGTATATTTTATGGTGCCTTTGGAAAAAGTGCCTACACCGTCCACTGACACAAGTAAGTTATAGTTAATTATGTCACCAAATTTCAGCTGGGTTTCAGAGTCCTCATATTCGAAACGTCCATTAAGAGCTTGGGCTAGTTGCCCTGATACTGGTTTGCCGTTTTCTTCGTCTCCGACTCTCCCTCGGAATATAAAAAGAAGCAAACCAGGTATATCTGTTGAGCAATAAGGTCTCGTGTTAATCTTTTTTTCACTTCCGGCCTAACATTATAAATAAAATGTTAACTGATCCTGTCTGTTACCTGACGTAGACACTGCTATCTACCTACCTAAGTTTTCAGTTAATGAGCAGTTACCTAAGATGTCCAAGTGTTTACAATTTGCATTAATGGCCTAGTCCTAATAACTGATATCATGTCCTGGCGACCTCAATTTTTAAGGACCTCCACTACCATATTGATAAATTTATGGCAAACTACACACTTATAATTTTCATAAAATATAGAAATTGGAAAGGCCAGAAAAGCCCCATATATTTTTTTCATGTTAATTTTTTATAATTGAAATCTCTATATAGCAAATGATTGTTATACGAGATTGATATATTATATTAGACAACGAACGGGGTTCGCTAGAAATTGCAAAAATTATAATGTTATTGGCTTTGTTGACAATAAGTGAATGTCCACGATCTGTCGATGATCTTCAAAACTACTTAAGAAAACCAAAACTAGCCAAACTCGTTCCGTCAACAGAACGCAAATAAAATATAAACATAACTTACAAGGTATGGATACTTTAAAGCCTCTAGGTCTAAAAGCTTCTATTCTCAATTCAGGAAGGTTGTAATCACTTTGACTAGCAACTGTCACAAGAATTAGAAACAATATGACGTAAGATGTTACACGTCTTCCATTCTCGGTAGCCATTTCGATACTGAGGATTTTTAATAGCCTCATTTTTTGATGAGCAGATTAAGTAACTTTCGCAAGGACCGATTAACCTACCAAAAATGTAAGATCTTCCGTGCTTCGCTTCGGTACGTTCAGACATTAGTACCGGCTACATTTGCCGTTGTTAATAGTCACCGATTCTCCACCGTTCTGTTTACAAGGAAGGTTACTTATGTATGTGCTACCATTGAGCATTAACTTGTGCGACGGGGAAAATGTTCTATGAATCCAAAATAAATCTTGTGTCTCTTTTCATACAATATTTATTGTCGAATACGGTTTCCTGTTGACTATTTGTCTTTGCCACCATTGTATTTATCGAACCTGAAGTTTCATAATACATATCTAGAAATGATTAATTGTTCAAACTTATGATTCGACGAAGGCGAACTCTTCTAAAATAGGTATATATACCCATTACAGGTAATGATGTTATAAATATAACTCCTATATCATCATATATTATATTTAGTCAATTTTGCTATACTGGAAAATAGAATTCGAACCCACGACCTTTCGCCGGGCGACTGCTCTGGTTGTTTGGGTTAATGAACATTGTTGAAAATACGCTCTGTAGTTGCGGAAAAGTAACAAGTGCCATAAAGTTCGTCAGTCCAGTCAGGTCCTGGGTGGCTCAGTGGTTAAATCAGTCGCCCGAATTGAGAATGGTCGTGGGTTCGAATGACATCTCAGATTACGAGGGGCAAAGTGGATTTTTATGCATTGTTTGGTTTCAAAACGCATAAAAACAAATTACCTATGGTAACCCAACTAATACCTCTGCTTACCTACGTATTTCTATTTGGCTATATAAAATGATATGAGGCTAGATAGACATCCCGTGAGAGCTACCTGTTGCGAGTCGTCCGCCGTTACGAATGGTGACCTAATAATAATCACGTGCAACATGCACTGTCGGTATACACATAAAATCGATGTTGTGTAACAGATAATATGACTGTACATCAGAATATTCCGGGACACCGTAAATGCCTAGTTGCTGTTGAAGGAAGGAAAATGTAAGTCCAAAACCGACCATCTAAACGTAGGTGTTCATACACAGTTATCATTCTGAAATAATTCAAAATTTAAAAAGGGATCACTGGCAACAGTCTTTTATTTCACATTCAACTAAAAAAAAAATACAATAATAGCTTAAAATTAACTTGTAGATCCGTAGGAAACAATTATTTTATTTACTAGTTTATAGTGACAAATATAATATACACATTTTAGTTATATGCAAAAGGAAATTGAAAATTTCTTTAACACTTTATAATACTCTCCTCAAAATTATTCCTCAATATAATATTTAATTTAGACAATAGCTCTATTTTGCGTATGTTTGACATATTTTATATTTAGTTGTCACATAATTCATTCACATATAAATGCATGAAGTCTTTATTATACAAGTTTGAGATGAACTCTTTATGCCATTTTCACTTAGGTTAGGAGTCGCTCAAATATGTCGCCTAGACTAGGAACCACTTAACGATACTAAGCAATATCTATAGTCATGTCATACGACGCCTTGCGCTAGATATTTCGGAAATATAATAGATCACAAATATGTTTAGGGATTGAAGGATTTTATTTTCTGTGTAACGCGATTCGTAAGATTAAGCGTTTCTTATTTAAGCTATGCCTTGATTTAGGTTATTGGCAACGGGCATTAGTTACTTAAGTTTGTAACATTCTGGATAAAGTTAAGTATTTATAGTTACTATATGTAAAATATATCACTAAACTCGCAAAACCCCAGGTCATGTTGAGCTGAAGACTAGAAAAAATCATAAAGCAACGACTTTTATATAGTCGACTAAGAGTTCTGGTTGAGTCCAGGTTGTTCCCCAGTGGGGCAGGTCCTCCCAGAAACTGAGCATGCCCTTACGACCGGAATTACGCCAGGGCTTAGGCTGTCCACCGCCGGTGTATGAGTCGTCCGGGAACTCTGTGATACCACCAGCTGCTACACCCAATGTTATGTAGAACTGCAAATGATATAAAGTATTAAAAGAGCACTTAAAAATTACTATTTCTGGCAACTACAGATGGAACACACAGAAAACCACATAAAGAGTGGAAAAAGATTAAGCTGCCTTAGAAGACTCATTGTTCTTATACACAAAAGACGTTTTAGTAAAACCTGTTAAAATACATTAAAATTATGGTCCATTGTTCCTGGTAATTTTTCTCTGATAAAATCTCGAGACTCAAACTTTTCCGCACTTATAACTTAATCGGTCTATTCTATGTAAAAAACTGTCACTTTTACTGCAGCCAACCCAACTCCGCCTAGAAGCTCAGAAGAATCTTGAAAGACTTCGCAGAGTGTTGATGGGTCGGCTATGCTGCCAGGTTCTAGTATTCCAAGACTTTCTTACCTACATAATCAACGAAAATTTTGATATTGGATATTCAAAAATAGTGGGCACCTTACATGAGAAATTCTACGGTTTTCTCTAAGATCTCTAGTTGCAAGTCAGAAGAACAATTAATCGCTCAGTTGAGGTGCCCTTGTTCTATATGTATCCGAGTTTATAGCACCGTGAACGCGACTAGGTACTAGGTAATCAATGATCTATGCTTACGTAGTCATCAAAAGGTGCTATCCTAGTGCCTTTTTCAAGTAACATTCGTGGTAGATGGGTGCATGTATTTGGGAAACGAGTGCGCAACCCGCCCGTTGCATCCACCCGCGCCCATTGCTCACCATCCACTGACAGCGATATGTATTCTGGAATTTATTTTATATAAATTATTAATCTAAGATGTTTTCTAATCTTTGAAGGTTTGAGGGAATACTATAAGGGAAAGATTTTTATGCGATTGAAACCAGGAGAAAAGTAAATAAAATTAAAATAAAAAACAAAATAATAATGTCTGTGAGGTTGTCTGTCATTAGAGACGACATCACATATGATATTGCTCAGATCAACTAAGTTACTTAGATAATTAATTTGTTAACTTCTTCCTATATCAGAAAATATGTTGTTATAAAAAAATAATCTTACGGGGAGTCCAAGTAAGACCATACTCGTGGAAGTCATCACCCCATAGACTGTTATCCATCAGTTTTCTTGATAGCAGCTGCATTCTACACTTTACGTCCATGATTGGACCGCCGTATAAAACCTGCGAAATTTCAATAAAACATCACTACATTGTATATATGTATATTGAAGTAGATCCGCTAATTTTATTTATCTTTTGAGGATTGTATCTCTTCTTTTACCGGGCTACGGTTGTTATAACTCGGTGAGCGACAAGACAAATATGCTAGCACCTAAATTTATATTACCTGTCATTTAATGAAGTTATCGATGAAAACTATCATATTCTACTACTCACTTTATTACCGTATTCATCTAGTCCTACTCTCAGATCTCGGTTGCCAAGTGCTGTAGCAATCTTTATAACACCTGAAGCGTAATTAGAACTACCGTATTTCTTCAAAAAAGGTTCCAGGAGTATTTCTGCCGAACAAAAACATCTTATTAGTGTATACCTATTGTCTGTGTTACTGGTAATCGATATTTTAATCAGAAATACGTTACCAGGATATAACCAATCTCCTTGGGGTAGCTTAGCTCTAATTGTGACGGCTCCATATTTAAAAGCGAACCCTGCGCTTGTTATGCGCCCGCTGACTACTGGTGGTAGAATATCAGGTCCAGAGGCTTGACGGTAACATTCTTCAGCACGAGATGTACAACTGTAAATGAAAAGTACGTGTACTATAAAAAGGACTAGCACAAAGTGACTCTTAGATAGCATGAAACTGCCGGACTATGAAATAAAATAAGCGGACACGATTTTTAAACTAAGTTTTAACTTAATTCGCCGTCAAATTCAGAGATCATGTTAGGCTCCATATCAAATCATTGAATCCTTTTGGATATACCTCAGTAACCAACATAATTATTATTTGAGTTCATAAGGTTAATGTGTTTATGTGAAGAATGTTTCTTAATAAATGGCAATTTGTAAGACATAACCTGCCCGGAAGGGTAGAAAACCCAGACTGGAGTTCTGAGTGTTGCTATGCTTGCGGATAATACAAATTTTCATTAAGTAGAATAGATAATTTGATGTTTTTTAACGACTTACCCGCTAAAAAGGTCTAAGTTTCCGAGGTAAATAGATTCATTAGTGAAGTCAGACATACGTTGCTGGATCTTAGGAGTAATATGGAGGTTACCATTAGACACATAGACAACAGGATCATCCGGCAATCTCTGGTATGATACAAAGGGATATTCCTGGAATAATAATGATCAAATAATTAATTTGAAAACTTAATTTGGTAACTTTTAACATCTACTTGGAAAACAACTTAATACAGTTTCTACTCTTTTGTTTAGACAATGAATCAATTGCATTAAAACACAATGTTGCATCTCGTGGATAACTTACGGGATGTGATGAAACAGGTATATATTGTTCGATTTGCCAAGTGTCTTTCAGGGATGAAAAGTCATCCTCGAATATAATCTGACCACTGCAAGCATTGCCTCCCCGTATAGTTGTCACTGTGGGTAAACATCCGACCGGTTTTGGACTACTCCCAGTGCGGTCTTCAACTGCTGAAAAATCAAAGCGGTAACATTAATATCACAATGTTTAACCAAGGATTGGAATTCCTCCTTAACAATTGCTTAACAATTAATTTTTAGTCATTCTAATAGTTCCAAATCTCATTTGGGAGCAATATAAAGCTATGCTTGTTCTCTTAAATCTATAAAGATTATTTTGGACATTAATGTTGTACAACAATTAAATTTACTAATTCTATTTCTACGATGTCATTATTTGGCATATACATGTAATAATTTTATTGGTAACAAAAATCTCTGAAGTGATTGAAGCGGGATCGTGCATGTAGTGGTGTCTCACTTTAACTACGGAATTTGCAGAACTGGTCGCTGTTTTATAACTTTATAACTAATACTAGTTTTTCTATGGTCAGCAGTGGGCGTAGTACGGTTGATGATTATGAAGATGATGACTAGCTTTCCACTAGTAGCTTTGCTAATGGTTTACACGATTAGTGAGCCAAAGTAGAAAAATAGGATTCAGACTTAAAATTATCCGTATACGAAAAAAATACATCAAAATTCGTTCAGAAGTTTTCCATGAAGGAGTAACAATTATACACCCATACTTAGAAACTATCGTATTTCTAATCTGAAAGTAAAAACTTCAAAAGTTACATTGTCGTAATTTACCTTGTACAGTGTAACTCAAGTTGTCCTTCAAGTAGCCCTTTCTGTTCACTGAGACAAATACGTAGTAGTTGATGACGTCACCGACACGAAGCTGGGTATTTGCGTCTTCGTACACCCAACGACCATTGGTTGGCCGGAGGACCTCCCCTTTTAGGCTACCAACCGCGTCTCTGTCGATCTTCCGGTTTAAATTCCCTTGGAATACGAAGAGAGCCAGCCCTGGACCATCTGAAACATTCAGAGAGAAAAATGTATTATGATTTTTAGATGGCGAAAGAGGAGGGAATATAATCGTTTATACAATCCCACGAAATATTTGGGTATTCGTATAGTTTGACTTCTGTTTTAAATACACTTTTAAATAGTTGAAGAAGTTGAAGTCACGGCTTTGGGTTCATGTTTATTCAAAACTTGTTTATTCTTTTAATTTTCGAACTTGTTCACATACGCGCTCAGTTTGTGATGCAAATCTTTCGTAAGGGCTGATCATAACATGGATGACCAAAATTTTATTATCACGAACTCCGTGCTTTGGAAGGCATTTTAAGTCCTTGGTCCCGACTGCATCTGTAGTCGTTTACAAAATACTCACGAATCTTTAGGCTTGATTACGAAAGGCCTATGTGCCAGCATTACGGACACTAAAAGGCTGATGTTGATATTTTAAAATTATTATCATTAGTTTTACATAAATATACCTATCTGTTTTTTTAAGTGCCGGCCGATGACCATTCGCTCGCGCATCAGTATAACAATTATCATGTAAAGTCCCCGAAAAGCGGTTTTTACTTATTTTTTATCATGTACAGAAATTTTGACTAGCTTTAAAGGTTGATAATTTAAATTGAAAACTATTTTATTAATAGCCTGAAATATACCATAAATGAGTATTATATATAGAAATATAAAAAAAAAATATTCATTTCCTGCTACTATTCATGGAAGTTCTAAAACATGGTGAGTTTACAAAGACCATTTCAAAGAATGTTTAGATAGTTCAGATTACCGCGACAGTTAAAGTTTTACACCTGAATATATACAACATACGTTGAAAAATCAATTTTGATAGTTTTGTAAGCTAAAACTCTGGTCTTATCATCAACACTGCTCTGCATTGCACCTAGTCAGATTAATGACCTTTCATATACAACTTGTTTATTATTAACTAGTTATTTTCTTGCAACTTCGCCCGTAAGTTATAGTCTATGTAACCCGCCTATGGTGGAGCTACCGTAGGTAAAATAATTTAGTGGTTTGGAGCCTATTTAATACAAACAAATAATCAAATCTTTACTCTCTATAATATAAGCATAGGTTAAAATTTTTCATACCTACTATAAACTTTGATTAATTTATATCTCTCAAATTATTACCTAGGTACATATTACTTTTTTTTATATATCTCAAACTATTACCTAGGTACATATTACTTTTTTTAGAATATAAATTAACACAAACAACATTGATTACATTGACATTGTCAACTGTTGAATGTATTAACTTTTTATTGGTATTGTTTTTTTATTTAGTTTTTATTATAGGTGTAAAAACTTAAATAAACCTAACTTACCAGGTATTGAAACTCTAAAACCTTTAGGTTGAAGAACCTCTATTCTCACATCGGGAATAGTGTAGCTATTTTGAGCACTGACCAATCCGAGAGCCACTGATAACACATAACAGCACACACGCACATCCATACCGGTTATCAATTCGGTACTGACTAAGTAGATGTGCAAACAAAGACGTACAGAGTTTAAGGCTTTATTCACACGAATCAGTTCCGGCACAGTCACTAGTCTGTCTTAATGCTTCAGAGATACCTCAGATTTATCGCTTATAACGAATAAGAAAATCAGTTTAAAGAAAAAAAAAAGAAAGTAGATACATGTAGCATGGAAATTGAAGATGGAAGAGAAACAGGAGAAGAATTCTTAACGTTATATAAATAATAATTAAATACAAAGAATATATTTTTTAAATTATTGACATTTCATTCCGTCTTTAAGATAGCGCCAGTGATTGCCTGTGTTGACACCAAAAAGTAAAGTATATTAGGGAGGCCGGCAAACTTATCAGCTTATTTAGAACAGCAATATGCTTAACAGGCTTGTTAGAGCCCAAAAGGTTTATGCTTCACTATTTGACGTACCAAAAGGATTTAAGCTTCGGCAAATTTTTCTTTGCCGAAGCTCGGTGGCGTAGTGGATAAGCGCCGCAGCCCGTGATCGTTGTCGTTAAGCAACTTTCGTAAATGTCGGTCACGGGATGGGTGACCAAAAAATTATTATCTCGAGCTACTCCGTGCTTCAGAAGGCACGTTAAGCCGTTGGTCCTGACTGCATTTGCAGTCGTTAATACCCTCCAACCCGCATTGGGCCAGCGTGGAGGGTCATGGCCCATCCTCCTTAACAAGCCATAAGGAAGGCCTGAGCCCCTGCAGTGGGGACATAAAAGGGCTGATGTTGATGATGATGATGATGAAATTTTTCTTGACCTGAATTTGGGTCTGGCCTGTAAAATATGCATGTAAAATAAATGTACTTGAAATCGAAAAGATCCGGTCCTTAAATGCAAAATTTACGGAGTAATGATTGCAGACTGTATCAAATGACGAAATTAATTAGATTTTTTTTATTGGCATTTAACTAATGCATCTAGGGTTATTTAGTGCTATTATTTTGATCATACAGCCATTATCTTCAAGGAGTTGGTGACAATGAGCTCGTCTAGATGTGTTCATAGATAATGTATTAAAAAATAATTATATACCGTTTGACACCAATAAAATCGTCAATGATAAGTATGAATGAAGCTTAAGGCTGGTGATAAACAATCAATCATTACTCTTAATTTATTTATTCATAAGAATACAGAATTCCAAATAACTAGGGCCAAAAAATATGACTTAATAGTTTAATATAAAGTTTATGTTCCTTTAGGTACTTACATGGGGCCATATTTATTTACAAATTTTATTCTGTTTGCATTACTCCTATACTGTGAACGACCTTCGTGTCCAAGAGACTAGTACGCCGGTCCTTGAAGTCTCAGTTTCGATTCCCGAATGAGTCATATCTGAGCAATGTATGTGATTGTTGTAATATTTATTTTATTACAGTGATTTAGAGGATATAGGCTTGGTTAACTAAGCCCATATCATAAAGAAAATCAAAAAACTGTTATTTAGAATATGGAGATACTTTTGATAAGATATTAATATAAATGAATATTTTGAAATTCTACACGTTTAAGATTCATTGTATAATGTTAAATGTCAGAGGTTTGGAGGAGATAAGAAAACACATGATAAGACAACACTAGATCACTTCGCATAATTATTATGAGAGAAAAGCGTATTTTAGATTTTGTTCTAAAAGGGAAAGCTATTGATTCGATTTCGATAAAATTAACATGGGACCTTTACCAACGGTCCATTAAGCAGTCGAATAAAAAAGTATTTTGAAAATCGGTTAACAATTAGGTAAATATCATACATAAAAAGAAACATACATCGGTTAAAAATAAAATATACTTACTTACAAATTATTTTAAATAAAAATAAAAAATACTACATAGATATTTAGTTTACATATAAAGTAAACTTATTGGTTAAATTTTTTGGTCATCATAACTGTGAAGTAGCGAATTAAATAAAAATCAGATATTTATTCTATCGTCATGATAAACTCAGGGATTCCCCTGGCAATACGTCACTTATTTCTTGATAGGTTATAATAATACCTATATCCTTGAATTTAATTGCGCAAAGTGAATAACCTCGAACCTACGAGGAACAGGTTCGTCTGTGGTAGTGTCTTAATCGATAATATTGGAGAAGAATTGCTGGTCATTTTCCGCCTTTGTGAATTATTAAGACTTGGAACATTTTTAAAATTAGAATTTAGTCACAATGACAATTGCTTAAAAAATCCCATCTCAGAGTACCTGGGATAAGGGGATTTTTTAAAAAATTTTTTAGTAAGTGTTTTTCAGTATAGCATTGTGAATGCAAAATTGATCAAATATAATAATTAGAATTAAGTTTTTAAACCATATATATTAATATTTTTAGTCATTAACAAGGTGCGAATCTTAATAATTATTCAAGCTTAATCAGAGAAATTACTAAGCTTATCCACGTGAATTGTTAATGGAATCACATCGGAAAAGGGACTTCCGACTATGACGAAGATATCGTAGAACAATCGTACAAAGAATAACATTTTTGAAGTTGGTTTAAAATATTATTATAACGATTATATTAAAGTTTCATTCATTTTAAGCAAATAATATCTAGCTCTGGCCTGCTTTAGAAAAAAAATTGTGTTGACAATAACCAAACTACAGTTCCCTCAGAATCTGTGCTCTGTAGCAATCATGAATCACCGATCCTTAAGATAATTTAGGAAAAAGGAGTGTCTTTTTTTAAGACGAAATAAAAACAAACTATATTTACATACAAAATTTATTATCTTTATTTAATATAAAATCACATAAACAACGCCACCGTCTGAAACAAAACATTGAAGTAAATCAAGACAAGGAAAATTAAATTATCTACTAATTGGTATCCAAAAACATTGACAAACCACAAATGTATGTTTACAAAGATTGTGGGTATAGATGTTATTTTAATTAGAATAAATGCACAATTGCACATGCCATATTTGTTTGATATTAGATACGGATGATTTATAAGACCAACAACATTAAAGATGTGTTGATATTTGAATTTTTTATCAATGAAAATTTTCATTCTCTTTTATTGTGTTTTGACCATAGAGTTTAGTATCGTTCCTTAAACTTATTACTTTTTAAGCATTTTTCAGTTAAATATTTTTCAATATAGCATTGTGATAATATAATAAGAACATATCCTTTTTACCGTTACTTTAATTGGCGGCAGAGATTTTTCTTGGAAAAAGTTAAGTCCAAAGTAATTTCTTATTCTTCATTTAATAATAATAATTACAATTTCGTTAAATTCACAATCCAATATCATTTATTAAGTCTGAGCTGTTACAAGCATTTATAAAATTAAGTAATTAAAAGTGCTATGTCAGAATATTATTAAAAGAATAACGTAAATGATTTAATAATTAGCATTATCGTAAGTAAATCTATATGTGTTATGTACATGGATATATTTATTCAGTACAGATTTACCTTTATTGTCTTATTAAGACACATGATTGGTTATATAGGTATAAAAAGTAGTTACTTAAGTTTTGTTGTTTAAGGTTTACTATTATTTTTATTATGAGCATTTTAGCCGGATTTGTTGTAAATGCAATATTTGATTTTTTTTTTGCAATAGAAGTTGTTATCACAAACGCCGTTGCATGAACGTAAAATAAGATTGAGTGATTTGAAGCTGTCAATTTGATAAAAAATAAATTAAATGAAAAAATATTATTGTCAAAATTTTATACGACATCAGAAAGAAAATTGAAATGAATTTTAAAATATCTTTATTTAACTCTAAGTTTAGCATAATATTAGTTACTATTTATTTCTAATAAATTATTCCTACCTTTGTATTATCATAACGCGTAGACCTTCACGTAGTCGACCTGCATTTGCGACGTGTCTTCATACCAAGTCGGCAGCCACTGTTCCTTCGCCCTCCAGAAGTCAAGCATGGCCTTATTGGATCGATCGTTCCAAGGCTTCGTTGGACTGTCAGGAAATTCATGAAGACCTCCCACGTTTAAACCGAGAGAGATATAGAACTGTTAAAAGAATGCCGTAAAATTCTATTGGAACCTTTAAAAAATATTATTAATATGTTATCTAAATAATGAATAGCTTTTCCAGATTATTATAATAACTTGTAAGCGTGGATTGACTGATTGAAAGAAACAAAAACCTTTCCCACGTTAAAATAAAAAAAATCTCACCATCTGATCAAGAGGCGCCATCGTTGTGCCCCTCAGCCACAGTGGCGCGGCCGTTACGTTTTTCGTTTTAGCGTCTTCGTAAAAACCTGAGCCGGGATTTACTTCGCCGTATTTCTCACCGTCCACGAACAAAGATATACCATCTATAAATATATGTTTATTATTCACTACCATCATCATCAAATGCTTCACAATAATTTCCTTTATGTAGGTATGATCTATTCACATTTGCTAGGATGGAGGAGGCAAGTTTTTTTAATTTAATTCTAAACATTTCTAATAACTTTACTAAAAATACTGAAAATGATCTTGACAAAAGAGGCTATCGATAAAAAAAAAAAACTTTTAACAAATATCCTCATTCGCTTACTAGTCACAATGGTGTAATTACATATAATTAATAATAGCTTTGTCGCCTTGGCAAAGTGATTGTAGCTCTTAAGCTTTAAAAAAACATGATTACCACCGCTATCAACAGGGTTTTCGATTAAAAAATTGCACTAAAATATGTTGGTTTATGCAATCAAGAGCTACGGCGCCGCAGACAACATAAACTGATAGACGGGTCAAACTTATATTACCCCTCTTTTCGCGAAGGGGGTTAATAAACAGTTAAACTGAACGTTCAGTGCATTTAAAATACAAGTATTTCGTGAAGAAAATAAATAATACTCGTAGTAAGTTCATATTTTGAACATAGATTTGAAAATGAATTGTGTACATTTTTTTTTCACTATTATTAAGGGGTAATTAATATATATTACCTGGTCTCCATTCAAGACTGTAGTTATGGAAATCATTTGCCCAATGGTCGTGTCCTATTTTCTCTTTCAAATGCGCACTCCTGGAAATAATAGTATGAATAACCTCCCTTTAACAAGATTTGGTTTAATTTAGTTACCAAGGGGTCATTCAAGTAAGTACTAGCTAAGCAGACTTTCAAGTTATATATTATTCATTTCCATTACATCAAACAAATTCATAACATATACGACAGAAAAGGTTACTGTATGTATCTGTGTATGAGGCATCCAGTTACTACTTATGACGATTTTGACCCTTAGAAATTTACCGTTGTTTTCTTATTTTTAATTACAGCTATTAAACTTATTGAAAGATAGTCATTTTTGATGTACGCAAACTCTTGAACTATGTAGTGATTAAATCAGCAAATAAACTTTATGGAATAATATTAGTATAACTTCTATCATTATCCTATCAACATCATTGTAAGCTATTGGCTGTCTATACTAATAATAAGTTACCTGCAAGTATAACACGATACACGTGGTTATAAGGCCTTCTTTAAACCTTTGAAATTTCGTGCTGACACACTTCTATGGGCGAATACAAGTATTTTGACTCGAAATATATATATTTTTTTCTATTGATCAAAGTAATCACCCATGCAATCAATGCATCTTTGAAAACGCATTAGTAGTTTATTGATACCCTTCTTGAGATATCAGCTGGACGGGTGGCAAAAATTTTTCAAAGGCATTTTGTACTGCTTTTCGGGTATTAATTATTTTCCCGCAAAAAAATTTAAAATCCAAATTCTGGAAAAAGCTATCAAAATTCTGGAAAAAGTAAAAGTCTGCAGGCACAAGGTCTGGTGAGTACGGTGGATGACGAAGAACTTTCAACCCCAGCTCTTGTAGCTTGGAGACCGTCTGCTGTGCAGAATGAGGTCGTGCAGGAGTAGTGAAGCCGAACGATTGACCAAAGCTGGTTGGAGACGTGCGAGCTTCTCCATCGTTGTATTCAATTCTTCAAAGTACAAATTTGCAGTAATGCTCGTCCCAATTGGTAAGAAGCTGTGATGAATTACACCTGCGTTAGGCCACCAAACAGTGGCCATCACTTTTCTAGGGGTAAGTTTTCGTTTAGGGCATTGTTTAGGTGCTGAGCCAGGGTCCAACCAATTTGCTGAGCATTTACGATTATCGAACAGAATCATTTCTCGTCACAAGTAACAATGCGGTTCAGAATTCCTTCATTTGTATGCCTATTGAGCAGTGCAAGGCACGTCTCGACGCGTACTTTACCCAAAATTTTTTTTATTTGAAATGGCCAGTACGGCAGAACGGCAATTTCATAGGAAAATAAAGACCTATTAGATCGATAAACAAAAACAAACAACAAAATTTCATACTTTAAGTTATCTAGTACCTTTTATTAGAAGAACGTGTCCCCTGTAGAAGTGCCTAAGTAAAAAGTATTTCTCTATAAGATAAATCACCATTATATTAAAATATACTTTATGGTATATACCTGTAAGGTTCAGTATCGCACATAATAGAGCCTCCTAACAATTTCTTGTAGTATTCAGCGTTACCCTTCGCGTACGCAACACGCATAATACCGGACGCATAATTCTTTGAGCCGTATGCGTAGTCACGAGGTTCCAATTGAATTACTGAGGAAAATAGAAATGTTTCAATTAGTATATTAAAAATAATAAAGATTAAATAATCATCTCAACATTGTTGGAGTATCTCTATTGTCGTTGATTTATTAAAAAATGTGTTTAATTCATCGACATCGATGAAATATATGATGTTTTTCAATATTTAATTTACTTTATAAACTTACTTGGAATCAACCAGTCTCCTACTGGCATTTTGGCCCTAACTTCGACGCGGCCATATTTGAAATTGAAACGGTTCTTGGTGTTGATTTTCGCGGTGATGATGGGTGGCAGAATATGGGCTCCTGATGATTCTCGGGTGCATTGGTTTGTGCCCAAGTCACCGGTGCATCTGATTAAGAAATAAATACAAAATTGTAGAAATCAATAAACAGTTGATTTCTACTATTCCTACTATAATAAGAAGTTAGGTATTTCAGTACCTGAAATAGACATTAGTTTCATACCTAGCAGTAAGGTCCAATGATTGAGTAACGTAGTCTTCTCCATATTTGGATTCCAATGTGACGGGGCGTATTTTTAAGACGCCGCCTCTCACCCTCAAATTGCGATCATTTAAATAAACGTTGAACGGATAGTCCTGAAAATTAAAACCATCAATAATTTGAAAAAGAAGCTGCATCTTATTTTGAAATTGAAATAAAATATAATTTTCGTCGGTGGACGATGGTACGAAAAGTATTTGTAATTGAATGTATGTTTATCTAAATTAGGTATAGGCCTCTAATTTTCCGCAATCAGACGCTTTTTTGGCTTTATTACTCCAGTCAACCCAACTTCGCCCAGAAACTTTTAGGATCTTCATAGAGTTCGCGGAGTGTTGATATGTTTATTATTTTTATTGTTTTATTTATAATTTTTAATCAATTTCGCATTCACAATGCTATACTGAAAAATGCTTAAAAAATCCACTTGTTCCCTGGCACCCAGTACCTAACAGGACTGACGGATCTTTCAAGCACTTGTTTTATATCTATCTATATTTCTTTTTTTTTTTGTATAAATATAGAGGTAAACCTGGCTAACTTATATCATATAAAATGCAAATCCACAGCGTTAATACTCAAAGTAGCTATGCAAAAGTAATTTCTGTATCTGAGATTTTATTTTATTTTGAATATACTGTCTGAAATCTCTGAAAAAAGATTTAATGTTCAACTTTTTAATGTTATAGTATATTAATATGGTTTCTTATGTTTTAAGCTTATCAATAATACGAGTATTTCATTGTTTCACTTAGCATGTCTCCATAGCATCTCAGTAGGATAAAGTAAAAAATTATCAAGTTTAGTATTATTTGCTATATCATTAGTAACACTACGTACATTATTATTCTATCTATTATCATATGGTAAATCAAACGTTTGTATTGTGAGTGGCTCCACGTCCATGTTAATGATACAGAAGAATATATCAGTTTTATCTTTATTCTTATGGGGTACTTATATCATAATAAAAACTATTTAATAAAAAAGTGATGCCAAACTAACCAGCAAAAAGCGGTATTTAAACTATCCTAGAACCATGATTTTTTGAGGACTCATATAAATGAGTCTTATATCTGCGTATAACCCCACAAAATGGCCCACTTTATAAGTCTACCCTTGCTTACAGCGCGACTATATCAGGCCGCAGCCATCCCACTTTTGATTAAATGGCTCCTATATAGGGATTGCACAAGTGTACTTTTACCTGAAAATGTTAATATAAATCCACTATGGTAAAAAGTGAGACTAACTCGGGCCTAGCTATTCCACTACTAAGTATGCACCTAGTGTTTACTGAAACATTATAATTCACTGGAATTATCAAATTGTGATGTGCCACATACCTTTGCTCAAACTTTTTAATTTTTTCTAGTGTAGAAAAAATTAAAAAGTTTGAGCAAAGGTATGTGGTATTTATTAATATGATAACTAGAAATATTGACAAAGATAGTAGAAAACATATCCTATTGTTCTTAGTATTTGTGTTGTCTGTTTGCTGGGGAATGTGAATTTTCTGTGAACCCTATCTTGGTTTCGATTAAAATTTTAAAGCATCTCTTAAAAATGGCTTATTAACACTTTTTGTATTCATTTATTTATAAACAAATGATAGGAAAAGTCGCCATTTTTTGGGTGATCTTTTCCAAGTATGCTATAGCATTTATAAAAGTTAATTTACTTCTACAATGGTAAGAGCCAACACCAAAGCAAATTCGCCATGTTGTTACCAATTAGGGTTCCACAATTATTACTGTCTCATCAGGGGGCTCACACTGGAAATCGTAGATTCTGTTATGACAAATATTTAGTAACAAATGTGTAGTGAGGATATATTTATATGTTATATACTCTTTCGCTCCTTTTTATATATACAACAAACGATGCCAAATGGTGCCAACGGTGGTATCTCGCAGACGGTACACAATATGGGCCCAAACTGGTATCGTGAACTATTGATAACTGGCAGTCCATCAATATTTATGTTCAGAGAAATTTTATTTGGTAGACACGAAACATTTTCAAAAATTCTTTTCAAACATTTGATCAGACCATTGTGCCAGTAGTGCCCTGGGGCTGAAATGGTAATTTGTAGGTTTTCTCTATTTGTGCCTAGAAGTGTTCGCACATCTTGAGGTAAAACGTCGTTTAATCTGATATTTACAATATGAAGTAAAGAGTTCAAAGCAGAATGAGAAATATTGTAATTCAAAGCCTAGTTTTTAATAGAATAACGCAATTAAATTTTTTTGTTGTAATCAGTAAGTTCCTTTCATAATCGCTAAATGATTTTTCATTATTGCTTTCATAGTCCGAACCCCTTCCATCCGAAGTACTACTAAAGTTATTTTGTCCGGAACCCTCACCCGAATTTGCTATGCAGTCTTTACCCGATAAATTTAAAAAGTCAGTGCTCACTCTGGTTAACATTTCCTGATAGGTTTTCTTAACCTTTCTTTTATAAGAACCATTCTTTTTAAAGCGCTTCCACTGATCTAAGTCCATTTTTATTCCATTCAGGATAACAATCGTGTTTTTAAAGGCTGATCACAAAACCTATTGTAAAATTTGGGAAACCATTCAAATCGTGTTTTCGACTTTATCGGTTGTTTCCAGAAAAAGGACTTTAGAGAGTTCTAACCAGGATTGTTTGAAGATTTCTTAGACAATAGCACTACTATGAAATACCCATATATAAATCTACCTAGGCTTATATCGGCATATGACAAACCCCTATAAAGTGCAGTTTTGCCTAGCGAGTCCTAATATAAGCTTTTCTGGATTCGTGAGACCGTATTAAGCTCGTTTTTCTTATATTGGTGATTCAGAGCAAAAGTGGCCATATAAGGGTTCTAACCAAGATTATTCGAGATTTCTTCGATTATAGCATTACTATGGAATAAAATTCCATTGGATGTTAATATGTATTTACAGACTTTGCTTATATGAGGCTATAAGTAAAACTAATAAAAATAGTGATTGTTCCTCTGTGAACATTTTCCTTGAATATGCTCATATAGGAGCCTGAAGATTAGAATGCGCTTAAAGCGTTGTCTTATATGCGCATACAAGTCTGAGTTATTGGAGTAGTTCCTCTTGAGAGTAATTACTCTTAATACTTGGTTTAGTCCAGTAGTAGCCATGAATTTTGATCTTGATATATACCGATATAAGTCCATATTGTGTCCATATTCACGTATGCTGATATAAGTGCAGTGGCATATTTTGAAACCATTATAGTAGGTAGCTCGGTGGCGTAGTGGATAAGCGCCACGGCCCGCGATCGTAGTCGTTAAGCAACTTTCGCAAGGGTCGGTCACGGGATGGGTGACCAAAAAAATAAAAAAAAATTATTATCTCGAGCTACTCCGTGCTTCGGAAGGCACGTTAAGCCGTTGGTCCCGGCTGCATTTGCAATCGTCAATACCCTCCAATCCGCATTGGGCCAGCGTGGAGGGTCATGGCCCATCCTCCTTAACCATCCATAAGGAAGGCCTGAGCCCTTGCAGTGGGGACGTAAAAGAGCTGGTGGTGGTGGTGATAGTAGCTATATAAGTCCAAATAGGATTTTTAAATCGCATGCCATGATTATTTTGTTTGTTGTGTAAGAAGTTATAGAAAGCTAGAATCTTAAAAACAATTAAAATAAATTTGCTCAACGGCTAAAGGCACTCCTTGGCTGACGTTCCAAATGTGAAAGACATATAAAATGAAATTGTAGAATGAATTTCTTCTAGTTACATTGCAGAATTGCAACTGGAACGTTATCTAGTTACTTTTTAGAAACCGGGACAACTAGCAACTTAGGTTGAGCTCAACCCACTCCCTATGTGGTTTTTCTTAAGCAGAATCAGTTTATTTGGATTTAGGAAACTATTTCTTATCTAAATTATTACCGGTGCTTCCGGAAACATTATTTCGGTACTCCAAACTTTCCCCTTCTCCAGATTTGCATTAAAGTTATCTTCAAACAACAGTTGTCCCTTGCACACAAACCCAGGCATCGATACTTTCGAATCTGATATTTCACATGGGTACTTGAGAACTTCGGTGGGTTCGACTACTGCACTAGGCTTGGGAATTGTAACAGCTTCGGAAGAATCGGAAATAGGAGACCCAGTATTTGGGTCCACAGTTATGCCATCTTCATTCACGTATTCTGAAAATGTTAATAACTCTAATAAATTTATATTCTCATCTCATGGTTGCATGGAATGGAGTTTATTTTTATTTATGCATATTATTTAAAAAAAAAAGAAATAATAAAATACTCTTGAAATATATTTTTGAATATGACGAATTTGTATGAAATAATTCAGGGATTAATCAACTCTTGCCGAGTTCGTTGCTATTTCTTAATACAAGATCCTCCGCCGTAGATTTAGGTACTGATGCCGTTATCATTTTTTTATGTAGGTATTCAAAAAAATCATGCGTTTCTCTGCTTATTCCATTGCTATAATTGTGATTCTATGATATCTAGCAACTTCTACACCCACTAATTTATTATCATTTGACTTTCTCTAGTGATTGTTAACAGCCTTGACTGAAAGTCAATAAATATTGACTTTTATTTAAAAACTCAATAGAGGTCTTTTAACTGGTAATAATACGAAAGGAACATATTGGCGACGACCACATACGTCTTCAAATAGCTTTAAAAATACGTTTGTTTATTGATTATTAGTTAAGAATAGCCGCAAATGTCACAGAAACAGCAATACAAAATGATATCCCAAATTTTGAATGTAAGTCGAGATCAAATAGAATTAAACTCTATTATTCACTACTGCAGAAAAAAACACTATACATGAAGAGGTAATTGTACTATTGACTCACAATGAGGAAGGTAGAACCTATCATAATAGAAGTTGCGTTCAATAACTTAGTAATGATATCTCAGATAAATTTGCCAGAATATTAATATAAACTAAGCATTTTCCTGTTTGTATTAATTTTGTGTTTAATAATACTACACTCACATAAGAGGGAGCGTAATAATATATTACAAAATAATTATTCGGCACTTGGTGTCTTCATATTATATTATTTGTTGCTTGATTTTTAAAATCTAACGTATTCTTTTACTAACAATATAAAAAAATATGCGGATTTACCAGAAAAAAAATATTGATGATGATATTATAAACGATGACCATTATTTTAACTAAATCTTTATTAATATTTTGTTGATTGTTTACTTGGTTAGGTTTTTAATAAAATCAAGCATCATCTAGTAGAAGTCCATTGTAATAATCGTGTAACAAATAAAGTATATGCACAAGCGGCAAATCCAGCAACCAGGAGTAGTAGTAGTGTGTAGTTGAGAGTGGTGTAGACATCCTCTATCCTTATCCATCTCATTGCTCATAATAAGATAGTCAGAGACAGTCTTATTAGTCTTAGTCGGTGATATTAATTAGCTGAATATCATAGTTTCAAGGATATTGAAAATCAAGAACGGCCCCCTGATTGTCTAATTTTAAATCTATTGCAATCGCTTTCAGTTTGAAAGGTGTTGCACAACCATTGCTGCATAATACAAATACTTTTTTTTTCAACTGTCCTCAGAAACAAGCAATGGTTATACAACATCTTTCAAACCAAAAGATTTTAAAGTTAGACAATTAGGCCCCAGCTTCTAAGGAGAAATATGATATTTTTTGTGATTTCGGATATTCGAACACAAGGGGGAATAATAAGGAAGAAAAAGCCTCATTACAGATGTAGTAAAAGTAAAATTCTAACCAGTAACAGTCCATTCTCCGTTATCATGTCTGTATCCCAGATTATCTTTGATGACATACGTCCAGTAGTAAATTTTATCGCCAATCTTCAACTGGGCGTCTCTGTCTCTGAAGGTCCAGCGGCCTTCCTTAGCCTTGGTGATATCTCGCGACCACTGACCTGCCTCCAAGCCATTCATTTCTTCATTGAGCTTGCCATGAAAAGCAAAGATTGAGAAGCCTTCATCTACGACAGAAAGTGATTGAATTTTAATTAAAAAATTAACTATTGTTTAAGTAAGTAAATGGCATTAAATTATAAATAGTTCTTAGAAATAATCAATACCTGGAATAGAAACACGCAGTCCTCTAGGATAAATAGCTTCTAATTTAGCCTCAGGCACCACATAACTATCACTGTGTACTGAATTTAAAAAGCAGAAAATTAAAACGAAATATTTTTTTATATTTAACATTTTGAATTAAGAACACATTTTTTTTAATTATGAGGAAAGACAATGTATCTTCTCGCAATTTGAACTTGGAATGATCAAGTGAACTCACTAACTCATATTTACGTATGTACGTCGATTAAAAAAATATCGAACCTGCCATTGGTTTGGCTTTATATGTAACTAATTACGAACCAGTTTGCTTTGTTATATTACTACAACTCAGACCACAGTATATCAAACAATGCTCATACTAATATTTTAGGTGTTGAATAGCATTGGGCCCAGCCACTTTGATAGGTGATATCTATTATAATTATGTGTATTTTTTATTGTTGTAGCTAGTTTTTGCAAACGAGATTTTTTTGCTTTGCTAAAGCTAAAAAATATCTTAAAACTGGGTGTGGTACGAATTAATTTTACTTGAATAAAGACAATTTTGATTTTGATGTTCTGTTAATACTGAGGTTAAGGGAATTTCTCAAAGGCCGGCCTTAAGATGGGTGACCGAAAAATTATGAATCTTGGCGCAGGGACTTGCACATTCTAACGTTTTTTTTTCAATTCTATACTTTTCCTGCCATCTTCTTCACCTTATTTCAAACAATGCTTTTTTATCTCCTCTTTATCCTTCTCATTTTACATTGCAATCCAGTTTAATCACCACACAACTGATTTCTATTTTTATTCCTATTTTGTACATGCTGTCCGTCTGTGGAACTCTCTATCAGAAGACATAAAGTTCGCTTGCTCACTTTCACATCTTGAAAAATTCATAATTTATTTTTTAATTTTCCTACATAAATTACCTGGAAGATATTGCTATATAACAATAGGTCACCGTCTTGTATACTGTTTTTCTCATGCTATGTAATTTGTTACTTGTCCTGTGTCGTGTGAAAAATAGTATATTATTCCGCCCTTATTATTACTTGAAGCTCATTCGTAGTTGAGAAGGCTATTTCAACTACAGGCGTTAGCATCTACCAATCTACATTGAGCCCGTCTGTTTTAGCCCATTCTTCCTGTTTCTTTGGAGAAGGTATACTCCACCAGGTAGGACAGGGCATATTAATAGCAATAATAATGATAATAACTTACTCTAGTAGGATTTCATTTGCGTTTTGGCCAATTTTATGTAAGTTTTATTTGTTTATTATTTTTACGAATCAGATGATTTATACGCATCTTAAATATCTACTTTATTCACATTGAATTATTGTAAATATAGTTACGTAATATGCTAAGTATATTCAATAGTTTTTCTTGTTTACTTATTTTTGAGCTAGGCCTAATCTGAGTATAATCGTTTCGGTTCGTGGCATAATCCGTCTGGCTATAAATTGACTCTCATATTTATCAATTTTTGTAGAAAATTAAAAATTATTACTATTTTTTTGTCGGTTAGATCATTAAACTTTTTTTTTATCTTTTGCGTCATCAACAAATAATGTTAACATATTGAGTTGAACTGTCGCATGACGTCACACCTTAGCATATTTTCTTCATACATAGTTAAACAAATACTAATACGTAGCTGATATTTTTAAATTATCTTACTGACGGACTAAATGCAAAATTATAGGGGTAACTTTATCAATATTTTGTACCAAGACAACTTTATACATTCACTCTTTGACTGACATAACTTTTTGAAATATGATGTATGTTTCTCATTTCGAATTACAGTTTACTGAGACGTTATATCTTTGTTATATCAAAACCAGTTTAAAGTCAGTTTTTGGGTGCCTTCCCCCACCATGGATTAGATTAGATAATCGACGGCATAGCTTTTAACTTTAACTAGTGCTTGTAACAGCCTAGAAATAAACATTATTGAATTTGATTTGAATGTGATAAAACCAAGTATGTTTTATTTTAAGTTTACCCGAGTAGTAGAAATATAGTAATGTTATTTCGATCAAGCATTCAAGCTTTAGAATAGAATAAATCGTTATCTAATGAATATTATGGCAGCTTGTTAACCGATAAACTAATTTTATTACATCAGCTCGTCCATTGTTAGGAACATAACATTTAATTGATATCTGTGGCGGCGTTCAATCAAGTTCATTACTACGCCCCAGTGAGCCCCAAAAGTAGCCATTAAAATTCGACCACGCGGAATAAAACCTCTTTCAACACAAACACTATGGTTTGCGTTGTTATTTAACTATATTGTATTTAGAACAAAGGTGCTCATCTGGACCATGTTTTCCCCTATCGGTTTAGTATTACTAAGATAGGTATATCCATACAAATCTTGTAAATGGGAAAGCGTGTTGTTTGTCCTTTTTACCTCGTCATGGTATAACTTTTTTATGTGAAGATTGTGGGATGATTTAAGAATGATTCAATATATACATCATCACATCATGTTCCCACTGCTGGGGCTCAAACCTTCGCTGTAGATCAGGGGTGGGCAAACATTTTGATGGTCGGGCCACATTGCAGATGAAAATTTGACCTCGGGCCAAACAGTTTTTTTCATATAGTAAGCAAGTCGATCTAACGTTACTTGGAACTGCAACAATAAATTACAATGGATAAAAAGCCGCTGTTTTTTTTATAACTTTTGAGAAAATTAGTTCGGACTCTTTGAATTGAAAAATATGTTAAGCAAATACATCAGTTTCAGTTTTATTATTTCTTTAGTGTTTTACGATGCATGCACCCTCAGTAGATCTATATCTGCTTTTATTTCGTTTAATTTTCGGCGTATTTATTGCGGAAAGATTTTTCTCCAAATTAATATAAATATAAAATAACTTGCAGTAGTAAATAACTTATAGTTTTAAGTTACCCGTATTTTGTTAATTCATGAAATAATGTGATATAATAAGTATTATAACTAATAAAATTGTGCGACTGTTATGCATAGTGTAATTATTCAATTATCATAATTATATTTTCGAATAGGAAGCGCTGAAAAGAGCGGTTGTCCGGGAGAAAATTTTGGCTCCTACCGGCCCTGATAATGTTTATAAGTATTGCTTAATATTTTATCTAAAAATTTGTATTCACCATTTATGTTAGACGAAAACTAATATTTGTGTTTTTAATAATAATATATACAGTGCTTCAGGGGCCAGACAAAATTCTACCGCGGGCCGGATTCGGACCGCGGGCCGCCAAATGGCGAAGGGCGGACAGATGTCCAGGCCTACTGTAGATGTATTCGAATTAAACGAATAGGAAGAATGCGCTATAAGCCACCACTTGGCTCCAGTACCAGTTGGCCGGTATTAACGACTGCAGCCCGGACTACGGCTTAACGTGCATTCCGAAGCACGTAAGAGCTCGAGATTATAAATATTTGGCCACCGATCCTATGACTGGTTATTATGAAAGTTATTTAACAACCCCTTTACAATATTTACGTCAATACCTACGTTCAGAGCTAAATTAAAAACAACTTTAAAGGTGTGTATGATGAGGTGATTGGATGATTGAATGGTTCCTTCGACTACCTTTTTTGATTTTCTTTACAAGATTATAATTTTATTTTATTTTATGGCATTGACATACGATTTTAGTTTAACTTAAATTATATCCATACCGTATTACACTTAAATCTACT